GAATTTGCAGGTGATATATTTTCTGAGCTCAAAAAACAGTTCCAGCAACGTTTTTCGGATCTTGATGCAAGTGCAGAAGACATTTCCAGATTTGAAAATCCATTTACCTGTACAATTGAGGAACTTCCACCTAACCTTCAATTGGAAGTGATTAATCTGCAGGGTGATAACATGCTAAAAGGCAAATTCCAAGAGAACAATCTAACAGAATTCTATAAGTGAAGAAAGCAGTCTTCTGGAATTTGGCACCGTGTATATGTGGTGTTAACCGACGTTTCGGAGGAACGTATCGCCTCCATCTTCAAGGTAGAAGAAAAAATATAAGAAATCGGCAAGCGAAGAGACTGTGAAAGCCTCAAATCTTACATAATTCTATAAGTGTCTTCTAAGTGATGAATATGGTGAATTAAGATCATATGCTCGAAGTTTGATCTCTGTATTTGGTAGTACCTACCTGTGTGAAAAGACATTTTCAAAGATGAAATATCTAAAATCTCAATACAGGTCAGCATTAACAGACGAACATTTGCAATCAGTTATGATGATAGGGAGTACTAACTTTGACCCCCAATTTGAAGAAATGTTATCTAAAAAAAAACGATTTCATTCATCCCATTAGTAGCCTAAAGCTGTGTTTCAAACAATGATTGTAGTTCCTTTTGTATTTTTATTATGTTACATTTTCACCAGTAAATTTGTGAAAACTTGTTGTTTAACCTGTTATTTTAAGTTTACCGACCTTTAAAGATCCTCGAGTTTGCCTCTTGGCCCTCAGAGTGTAATGTATTTTATATTTGGCCCTTTACGAAAAATCTTTGCCGACCCCTGATCTAGACAATCGGCTCAAAGATGGTGGTAAGGTTGTCAGCCTTATGCACCAGCTGACCTTTACCCCCAAGAATATTACTGGTATTCATTTCTGTTAGAGGCTGAGTCGACCCCAGGGCAATAGTGTGGCTGGAAGAATTAGGTAAATTGAAAAAATCCACCTCATCGGGATTCGATCTCACGACCTTCTGGCTTGTAGCATAGTGCCTCAACCGACTACGCTACCGCATGCCCCCCTACACCACCCATTTGCTTTGCATAGTCAAGTACACACACTGCCTTTTGAATTTCTTTCTGCTGCCCCCCTTTTTGAATGGTCACTATTTTTTTCACTGATGTGTCATGATATGTAGACATGAGAACCACCCTCTTGTCTTTCCAGCCTATTAGCAGGACAGTCCCTCTTCTGTAGGGAAAAGTGTCCCCACTCTTCATTTTCTTCGTGGCCCCCTTCTGCACTGGTTTTGGATTCCCAACTTACCAGAAATAAAAGTGCCTGCTGTGTGGCATTTTTGATTGTCCAAATCTTCGGCCAAGTGAACACTACTATAATATCTGTCAGTGAAAAGGTGTAGCCTTCAAACACCAGATACACTAAGATCTAGTCTGCCCATCAAGGAAAGAACTATTCTTGAAGTGAAAGGTTTTTCTGAGTATGGCAAGTTACACATGTCAGCTGTAAGTTTTCCGTAATATGGAATTATACTGTGAACATATCCAGCGTCATTGTTAGCTAATAGAAATAATCTGATGCCCCACTTCTTAGGATTTTTTGGATTATAAGTTTTGAAAATTATTTTGCCCTTGAACCCAACTGCTGATTCATCTATTGCAATGTTTTTACCTGGCACAAAATATTTCTGAAACTGTTTCCCTATATATTCTGTACTTTCATTGTTCTTTTGATGGCCCGACTGTTTTCTTTGGTGGTATCATTTCCCACATGAATCATCCAAAATATATGCAGAAATTGAACTGTAGACATTACATTACCAAAAAATGGTACCTGTATTGCCCATTCACTAGACCAGCAGTGTTTCATGTTGGGTAATGTCATTAGGCCTATATTTACAAATAGATCTAAAAACTCCTTCATTTCAGGAACTGACACATCAGACCAGCTGCTCCAAATGAACCTTGGGCTAAGCTGAAGTTCCAAAATTTTGTGTCTCGCATAATTGTCTGTCTCTATAACAAAGTCACTCAAAAGCTCGTCAATGAAAAACAAACTAAAATAATCCATGGGGTTTGCATCTGGTAGATTAAATTGTAGCTCTGCATTTTTAGTAAATATGTATGAATTGTGTTTCTTGTCCCCCATCAACATGCATAACACTTGTTTCACTCTTCTCCTCACTTCCTCACATTTCACCGCTGAATTCCTCACTCACAGCTTCTTCTACATTTTCCAAATCCATTCGATCATCAGAGTCTATACTGAGCTCTTCATTTAACAAAGAAATAACTGACTCTTCGTTCTCAACACATACAACATTGTATTTCAGTTTTTTCATACCAGAAGGAACACGTGTACAAGAATGTAAAACCATGTTGGTAACACTGATACGCAGTAATATATGAATGGCATTCATTCCTCAAGTAGTTCAAATTATGACTTTCAGATGACAGGAGAATGCAAACTAAACATTCATGATTGCAGTGGTATAGTGTACAGGGGTAAGCAGCAACATATGACCAACTTATCATTGGAGAAACGCGAAAGAATCTTTGGAATCCTACATCTACATTCGTCTGTGGAAGAAGATACTCAATGTTGATCATACATCGACGTATGACAGGAAAGGGTAAACAGAATACTTAAAATTACAACAAACTCATTCCTTATGAGTAACAAACATTCAATTTATATGCAATCAGCTGAAGTTGTCCCTGTGCTTAACTAATTAAGCACTACACCATGAAGACATATGGGGGAGTGGATGTTCAGATCCATGCATTCTTGACCTCGGCAGTCGTTGGATGCCAGTAGTCAGCCTCAAGCTCTGGCCAATTTAGGCCCCAGGAAAGACCCCCCCCCCAGCACCCATTGGATAGGAGGCTGGGTAGCTACTGATCCAGTCTGGATGATGTACAGGAGAAAAATCTTGCCCCTACCAGGACTCGAACTTCAACTCCTCAGCCATTCCGCCTATAGACAATATACCGACTGCACTATCCCAGCTCCCATTCACGTGCATTACATTATGATAAAGGCACAGGTAAAGAGGCAGGATAGCGCAGTTGGTATAGCAACTGGCTACGGGCTGGAGTTCAGGTCCTGGTTAGGTCAAGAATGTTCACTTCTCCATGTTGTCCAGACTGGCTATGGGGTCCACCCAACTTCCTATCCAATGGGTACTGGAGGCTCTTTCCCTGGGGGTTGGTGTCTCCACCTTATCGTGGTGAGGGTGTTTGAGTATGCCAAGGACCCTGAGAGCTATACCAGCGGTAGCGTAGCTACTGGCAGGGCCTCCCTTGCTGGACAGGTCAAAGGGTAGGCATCAGACGAAGAGAGACACCGAAAACAGATGCCGGAAGCAGCGTCATCAGCGGCGACTTGAAGCACAGAGAAAATGATGCTCGAGATGGTTCAAGTTCGTATAGCAACAGGCGTGACCAGAGTGGTTTGAACGGCTGTTGTACTGCGATGTGGAAAGCAAATGGAAAAACTACCACATTATCACTATTCCTGGATAGTCTCTTTCCAAAAACAGAAGATCGCATTAAGTGGAGAAACTGTTTTGGAAGAGGCTGTGGACCTGTCATCTGACAGATTACTGATGAATGAATGAATGAAAGTGGCAGGGGAGTGAAGCTGACCACTCACCTCCAGCTAGTACAGAGGTCAAGAAACTTGGATCTATATATCCACTCCCCATACGCCTTCTTGGAGTAGTGCTTAATTAGTTAAGCAGAGGGACAACTTTACCTCACCTTTACAGGTAAAGAAACTAGTTCATGATATTTATTCAAATTGGTGAGAAGCCAAAAATACATATGCCAGTGTTTGCTACTGTTATGCAATATGAACAAAAATTAAATACATATGGGCATAAACTGTTTCATGTTTCTGACAATATCCTGATCTTGTTCTTTAAAAATCTTCTACTTACTGACCTTGTCCTTCAACATTAATAAGATGTGGTTGAAATAGAGCTTCAGGTGCCTCAAATCTTTCCCCACCAACCTTAATCACACGTCCATCTGGTAGCTAGAACACGTAACATATATAAATATGAGATTTGTATTTTCACATGGTCACCATGAAGGTTATCTTCCAGGATCTTCCACTGTAGGCTGCTTCAGGTTATTTGACAATTCAAAGGAACATCAGTAAACATCTATAAAACTATACAGCATCATGTCCCAGAAGGCTGTAATCTTCAAATAAAACACAACTCCATAAATAAAAGATTCTTGCTATGTAGGCCATTGTATAAGTACCATCCAGGAGGGTTCTACACGCACATAATTATTTTGACATGGGTATCCAAAACAATAAGGAGTAACAACAGACATGCCGCCTATTTCTCTATATGCAGGGTGTCCCAGGAAGGAAGATCAATTTTCTGGGAGGTCATAGTATCAGTCATTCTAATCAAAAAAGTGTACAGTTCCATAATTGTTAATATGAAAGAGTCATTACATACTGTTTCTAATACCAGTGTTTATTGTTCAAGTGACAGAGTTGGTACAGTTTATGTGGTATAATACATTTTCAAAAATACCACCATCAACATCAATGTAGTTTGCAACTTGTGTGAGAACATAGCATTCTGCTTGTTTGTACAGTGAAGTAGCTCTATCTCGGTGCAACTCGTGTGAGGACATGGCGTGTTGCCATGTCTGTACAGTGTACTGTCCAGTGAAGTAACTCTATCTTGGAAACCATTCAGAATAGGACACATGTACAGGTACACTTTTTGCTTAGAATGACTGATACTATGACATCCCAGAACACTGACCTTTCCTCCTGAGACACCCTGTAGTTGCCAGAGCAATTCAGATATGTTACAGGAATACACAATCTGTTTCATTTCACAGATAAACATCAGGGCTTGTGTATGTGTCCATGGGTGCACATAGTCATCACGTCAGTAATGCTTCCCTGCTGCGCCTCCATGATCGAAAACTGAAAGCAGAGAATGCCCCATGTGTCCCTGCAGACTGCTGAGAATGTCCTTCGCATCCACTATGTGCCCACAGACCCTGTACCTAGTGAATTCCACTTCTATGGATAACTGAAAAAAAAAAAAAACACTTCAAAGGAAAACCATTCTAGACATGATAAAAGATAAAGCAATTCCTTTAACAGGTTGTGGAGGCCCACAGGGTTGTGAGATGTTGAGGCTCCCACATTTTCTAGACAATCGGCTAACAGATGGTGATGTCAGACTTACGCACCGGCCGCCCTTTAGCCCCCAGGAAGATTTCTGGTACTCATTTCCGTTAGTGGCTGAGTTGACCCCAGGGGCAATAGTGTGGTTGGAAGGATTACGTCAATTTTAAAATCCAATTACCTCATTGGGACTTGATCCCATGACATTCCAGCTTGTCGCACAGTGCCTTATCCAACTATGATACCACATGCCCCCTTTTAATATGATGAGACATAAACCAATGTTTCAAAAGAGCCTGTTGCCTCCCGTCTTCAAGATAAACTCTGAAGATACAGACACTAAGTTCCCCTGAAATACCAGTGTTCACCCACATGAATGCACAGTGTTACAACACAGACAAATGCAATCTGGAGGTTGCACTAATGGGTTACAGCTGTCACACTGCTCTTGGTTTCAATAACTGACATCCAGTAACACACGGGTCAGAGAAAGAATGAATGTCATTCAATGTCACATCACTTTTACCTTCTCAAATATGTTCCTTCTTCCTTTTACTTTTTTGACAAACACCAGATCAACTCAAAATTCGTCTGGGATTGCCACCAAACTCTCCTGGAACTGGCCAAACATAATGGGGTAGAACTGATATGGGTGCAGGGGCATGAGGGTATTGCTGGAAATGAAACAGCAGACCAATTAGCTAAGATTGGAGCTGAACATATGTTCATAGGACCTGAACCAGCCTGCAGCATCTCTACAGGAGTCGCCAGAAAGGCAATAAGGGACTGAACAAATATGAAGCACAAGAAATACTGGGGATCCTTGACTGGACTCAGGCAAGCAAAGGGTCTCATACAAGGACCCTCTACTAAAAGAGCGAAGGAACTGTTGAAGTTAAACAGGAACCAGCTACGATGGGTGGTGGGACTACTTACAGGACACTGTCACCTTAAAGGACGCCTCTTCAAACTGGGACTAAGTAACAGTCCCACTTGTGAGAGGTGTCAAGAAGAAAATGAAACGGCCATACATATCCTGTGTGAATGTGAGGCCTTAACTTATACAAGATTATGTTACCTGGGTCAATACTTTATGGAACCAAGTGACTATTTCAATGCCCCCAAGTATAAAATTCTGTGCTTCATTCAAAGTGCAGGACTGCTGAAGGAATAATCAAAAGGGGAAGCACAACAGACCACTGTATGTCACGGTGCAAGGGCCGAGAAGGCCCATCCCTTATACATACATACATTCATTCATTCATTCATTCATTTATTAATTCAATTTTACTTTTGAAGTGCAGGGTGCCCAATCTTAATTTAAAATTACAAAACACTATACTGCATGGAGAGCCAGAGCAGCTGAGTTGGTACAGCAAGGAGGCTATGTGTTGGATGACTGAGGAATCATGGTTCAATTCCTGACAGATGCAAGATATTTCTCTCTTCTCCACAGCATCCAGACTGCTTCTGGGGCCCACTCAACTTCCTATTTAACAGGAACCAGGGGCTATTTCCCTAGGGGTAAAGTTCCATGGCACTACCCCACATGTATTCATGATGGGGTGTTTAATCAATTATGAGGTCAACTTTGCCTCTTACCTAGCTCATAGCCCTGTAAACGTTATGGTATAACAGCACTTACTGTGTATGGTTCAACAAGAACTGTTGTCTCCAGAGCTAACTTCTGTTCTGTTTCTATATTATATCCAATGTAACACAGTTTTTCTTTCATAATTCTGACAGTCTCAAAGTCTGCTGAATGGTTGAAAGCATAGCCCCTCAACAGCAACAACTGCAAACAAATGATCTGGTTAATACAATGTCACAGATCTGACCAACATGTTGCCAGGCAACAGCTCTGTAAACATGGTACAATTCATAACAATACAGGGGATGTGTTTTCTATGTAATCCACACCGAGCAGCGGTGGAATAATAGCTCAGTAAACACATTTCTATGTAGTGTACCGTGCTATGAAAGCGGTGACATCATCAACAATAGACGGTGTTTTCCATGGGGGTCTCTGCAGAGGAGTTATCCTGAACACAATTGGTGCTATGAGTCAGTCAGTTCTTGGTAGGCGATAGCTACGGGAAGTTTGTAGTTGAAGAACAGTACAAGAAGTCAGCCTGTGAAGACTTAAGGTGCGGCCACACAGAGCACTACGTACGTGACGCATGCTGCGTATGCCATGTTCACTATATGAACAGAAAAATATCTCCCTTTATAGCCAATGTGACTGGCCACACAGATTTCTGTATGCTATGTACGCTATGTTAGCAGCATCGCAGAGTGTTTGATTCTCAGCTATATTTTTAAAACGTTGCGCTGGACGGGCATGCGCACTGGGCTCGCTTCCAGGTGTCAGCTGCGCGCCTCAATAATTTCCCACTCTGATTACAACATATGTTATTTATCATTCAGCATAGTATTCACTTAGATGAAAATGACACTGGAGGAATTAATTGAAGAAGGAAGTAAGGAAGTATCCATGTTTGTGGAACAAAGGGTTAGAAGAATATCAGAACCAGAGCATATAGGATAATGCCTGGGACATGATTTATGGAGAACTGAATACATCAGGTAATGTACAAACATTATTCTTTTATCTATAAGTGAAAAACTTAAAATATTATTTTCATCAACCCCATTCATTTGGAAATATTCTTTAAATTTAACTTCATCTTCACGTAACTGCTTTATCAGATGATGAAATTCACCAAACTTTGTTCTTCTTAAGTTCACGCCATGCACCCACTTCCTTTTACATTTACACAAGGAAAGTAACAGCAAAAGCTCATTGTCAGAATCATTGCTGCCCCCCCCCCAGCACACTATCAGCCAATATTTAATTCAAGACTGAGCAGTTTTGTACCAAACATAGCTTTCTGTGGGGCCATGCAGTGCAGCGAACATAGCGTACACAGCGTATGTAGCAAACATAGCGTAGCGCTCTGTGTGGCTGCACCTTTAATGTGTGATTAGAAGACTTTATCTATGTGTAATATTTGGAATGTGTAATTCAGTGAGACTTTTACAGTTCCTGCATTGAGATCCATTGCCAGGAGACAACTAGTGAATATGGAGAATCCCAGTGCATGTCCAATGGTGAACTGTAAATTGTGCAAATACAACGATAGTGCTGTATTAATGTTAATTAAGAGAGACAGTGTAACCAAAGTGCCAACAGATCCAATAATCTGAATTAGAAGCCGTTACAAGTATTAAGTTTTTGGACATTATCCACTGTCCTGTCTATTTTCTAAGAACCATCCTGTGTTTTTTAAACACACAACATTTCAGAGACCGGGTCCAGAGATGGGGGCTAGCTCTATCTATTTGACCCAACTGAGTAGGTATAACCTGAGGATGGAGACAGAATCCAGTCTTCAAAACGTTGTTTTTAAAAATAAGTAGGACGGTTTTTAGAAAAGAGAACACTGGATAATGTCCAAAAACATAATACTTGTAGCAATATACCATCATCACAAACTTTTAGATCTTAGAAGCTGTTAGTTTCATCATGTGTACCCCCATACACGTGACAATACTGTGTGGCTGAAACAAACATTATGAAGGAAATGTATCAGGGATTCATCCAGCAGAAGGAATTCATGTCATGAATACAGTATTCCTTATGCAATGATCTCTCACATAAGGATTTGAACTGTTCATGGTAAATTAATGCAATGAATTATTAACTTTCTGCACTTTGTCCTCTGTCCAATATCCTAAAACATAACAGTGTTTTAGACATCAGATCTGCTCCCATTCTCAGGTGAGGGAAACCTGTGCAGTTGGGTCCATGTGGAAGAGCTAATCTGAATCACTGGACCACCGACTTCAGCAGCCATTAATAGTTTTTAAAAATATAAACTTAGGCAAAGATTATTCTTATCACAGAATCTGATTCATCCATTTAACGATTAGGAGGGTGTGTGGAAGCAGATGGGAGACTAGAGCATAAATGGCAACCATCTTATCAAAGTTAAGGAGCTATTATATGATTGAATGAGTATATTATATATTGAATGAGTAAATGCAGCAACTTGAAATACTTCAACTGAGACCAGATGCAGTATTTTTCATAACATGAAAGCTGCAATATTACAAATTACCTTCTCGAGTTGCAGAGTTGTTAACTCCAAAGATACTATTTAAATTAACTCTCTAACTCCAAAGTCCCATCAACAGAACTATCTCTCAGAAATGCCAAGTCTGTGGGGGGGGAATGCAGTTGTATAGAAGAACCTATAACACTTTCGCAAATGACCTTCAAATGCCCACAGGTCTACATCATATGGAACCTGTTTTTTCCTCTGAACTTTGGTATGGGACATTTGATGCCATATATTGAGAGATATACTATACTAATTGCTTAACAAACTGATCTCTTCAGCTCTGGAAGTTTTAGCACAGGTAATCTGAGCTACTCTAATGATTCTTGGTGTGCAGATGGTTAAGACATACCTTAATAAGGTAACGAGTAATGTCTCTCCCTGCAATGTCCAGCCTCCTGGTGAGATGTGGAAGAGCAAATTCCTCGTACACAGGACAAATATGTGTAACACCATCTCCTGAATCCACAACTACACCGCTCAACAGACCTTGTGCATACAAAGTTAGAACTGCTTGAATCGCTATGTATGCACCAGCAAACTGGTACTTCTCAAACATCACCTGAAAATAAAAAGCCAGTTTTTACTCATACCTTCACCTTTCAGCTTAACATGGGGGGAGAAGCAGTAACAAGATTTTGTTAGAGTGCACACAAACCATCTACTGCCTATCTAAAACAGACACATCACACCTTGAATAGGCAATCTTACAGAAGGAAAGTCCTGTGTGTTCACCAGTTTTCATATGGTGATTCTGGTTCCGCTCAAACACTGAATCTTGTATATTTCTAATGACTAAGTAACTGTCTGCATCACCATCTGATAATGATGTACCCTCACAGACATTTAGGCACCGACTATACACAATAAAATATGCTCCAGTAAATGAGAAAGAAACTTCATTAGGGCAAGAAGATAGCATAAACAAAGTAATAACACAAAACAAACAAGCCTCTTTCCAAGAACTGTGATACAGTAGGTTTCAGAAGTACGTACCATGATTCAGAAAGCAGGTATCTTCTCCCACCCAACTATATAATTTCTCCTGGATGTTTCACACAGCTTCAATAGTTTAACTATAAATAATGCAAAGGAAGTGACAGTTATTCTGCTGCTGGCTGTACAGCTAACTGATAACAGCAGACTGTGACTGGGTGGTTAGTCCTAATGACACTGTCATGACATAAAAGGTGTTCCGATAATGTTTAAATGACCTCTTATTTTAAGACTGCATCCCATATGTTTCTTCTACGCTATGAGATTAACTGTCACACAAACCTACTGTTTAGAAAACCTTTTGTTCCGTATTTCTTATTACACACGTGTTTCGGCCATTCAACATCAGGCAATATATACAAATCAACCTAATATATATAACACTGTAAGTAAAAACTTGTTAAAATATGGAAATGTTGCAAAAAACAGTAATGAACTATGTAGGATCTGACCTAATTTACACAATCATAATTATAAATATTGTTTGCCTAAATTAAATATTCTCCATTTTTGTGTAAAAGTTTATCAAGTTACATCTTTTTTTTTTAATTTATCATAGTTTGAATCTTTTTATATAATTTGGCACTTTACAATGTTTTATTTTTCTGTATATAATTTTCAGTCAGTCTACATTAAATTGTAGTTTTATGTTCTAAACACTGTCTGCCTTTTTGGATACTCAGCCTTTCCGGGGTTTCTCCACTAGTGAGTAACCAGAGTTGAATAATGCACCAAACTGTCTCTCTGAAGGCAAGGAGTAATGTGCTGAGGAAGTGTAACACGTGTCTGTATATTAGTATAGCTGGAATGAGCCACCAATCACTTGCTTGAGACGGTGGTTGAACCAGAAATCACTAACAACAAAGCAGGTACTTCCTTATATATCATGAACAGAGACCAACTGCTTCCTTCATTCACTGCAAATGCTCTGCCTTTTACCACACGATGTAACGGAGATATATGGGATCAGTTTCAACAGTTCTAAAGAATTTTATCTCTAAGTTCTTTTACCCACTTCTTACCTCAATCATCTTTTCCCTGTTTTTTGTGGGATTCATTGGAGGTTCAGTTAACAGGATTTTGCAATCCTGTGGATTAATGTTCATTTTCTCAGGACCAAATGTATAATCCCACACATGGCACATATCTTCCCAATTTCTGTAGAGAGAAACCAAAGTTCTCAATAAATCAAATTTCAATAAGTATGTGCAAACAAACTTTTGGAGTGACATTAAAAGAAAGTGCATACAGTATGGTCATGTTTTATGCCAATCTGAATTATACAAATTCTAAATAGTGCAATATAAAAATATTAAGAAAGTCTAACTTTATGCGCAAAGTTTGAAATAATGTAAATTTGTTCCTATGGGAAAACTTGTCTTGAACTATGCAATGTCTTCAGGAACATGACCATCACATAAAAAACAACCACACTGTATTTACTTTCATTGGTACTTACATACTGAGGGGTGACCCATGTAGTCCATTATGTGAGCACTGCCAACTGTAGAAGTTTATTTGTAAGAGCAAAACCCTAAGCCTAACCTCAGATGGTTCTAGATATATTTTCAAAGAAAAAACCAAAGCCCAACCTTGTGGTTTTGTTGATGGAGGCAAATTCTAAGGAAAGGATTTGGGTCTTGCTTTTACCAGTAATCTTCAAGGTTGGTAACATTACTGTGGCAGAAAACATGGCAGTTTTTTAGAAGTTGTAGGATTTGAGGTCCTCACAACAGTGGTTATGAAAAGTACTATCTTCTGGAATATAACACCGTCATATCTGTTGAAAGTCGACCAACTTGCTCTGCATGCCACCTGCTTTAATGCTGGTTCCTTGCCAGGCTTATTCTTTGACCTGGAAGATGGGAGACTATATGTTCCTCCAGAACGTCAGTTGACTTTCAATGGACTACACAGCGTTACATCCCAGATGATACAACACTTCAACTTTAAAAGTTATCTGGGTCATCTGCCAATAGGTACATATCCATCTGCGGTCTAGCTCTCTATTTTACATTTCCTTCCACGCATTAACAGTTCAACATTTAATGACAAACAAGCCATGGTATATAAACCCATACCAAAATTGGTATGGGCAAAGTCCATATTATTTCCTTCAACACTGCTCTATATAGTAGATTCCTAATTAACTGGGCAGATTATCTAGAGGGTATATGTAGAAAAATGACTAGACAGAATAAGATGCAGCTCTGCCAGACAAATGAGATGCTTCAAAACTTATGGAGTGTGAGACACATGAAGGCTAGTTAAGGCACCAAACAAACTTGTTTCCTTTAATTTTTTAAAAAAAGTTACATTATACGTTCATTTTTTTATTAATCGAGGATTACAACTAAAGTTGTAACTATATTACTATTGCACAAACATGCACTTATAAATATACATACCATTTTATAAATTCTAATTTGCAATGTGGTTACATATTCCTATTACTAATTATCTAGAGTTTATGATTATTGAAGAAAAGTGATTTCCCATCCACACTGGATAATCAGGAGTTTACTGTATTGTTCATCATGCTTCATTATGTTTTCTTTTACCTAACTTAAAACCCCAGTTTTATACACTACATTTTAGTATGTTAAACGGAACAGTAAATTTTCAATATTAGCACATAACACTGCAAGGGGCAAAGCAAACAAACAAAATTTTCACAAAACACTTATGTAAGTCCATTTAGGATTACAGGATCTTTGTACTTTGTCCACCTTCAGTATTCCAAACAGAATGCAACATTTCTGAAACTGGATCTGTTGAATCCCCAGGCACAGAATTGGAGAGGCATCTACACTGCTGCTGCTGAACCCGTAATACAGAGTGTGGCGCATAAACTTCCTTTTTGTGAAGACGCATTGTGAAGGGAGGAGTGGTCGCAGAAAAGTGGGGATAGGCTCAGTGAATGCAGTAGTCATGGAAGTTTCTGTCTAATACCCCTCAGTAGGAAACATGAGGTGGACGAGTGAGCAGCGTGCATTTGCTGTCGAAGCCTATTTTTCTAACAACCATTCCTACATGGCGGTGCAGCATGCATTCCATACTCAATTCGGAATTAAGCCCAGAGGTCTGGTTCCCGAACAGAAATTGATTGTTCTGTAGGTAGAGAACTTTAGGACAACTGGGAGTGTGGTGAAAAAATCATCAGGATGATAACAGACTGTTACGATGCCAGAAAAGGGTGAAGCAGTTCAACAGTCGATTTTGAGATCTCCAAGACTCGCCAACATGCAGTCGCCCTAGACATATCCAATCATTCAATGCACCGAATTCTTCATTTCCATCCCTATAAGATGGCTGTTGTGCAAGAATTGTCACCACATGATTTCCAGAACCGAATAATGGCGTGCAAAACGTTATTGGAAACTTTACCCCTTGACACACTTGTTTTCACTTGTTAGTGATGAGGCACATTTTCACCTATCCGGATATGTCAACAAGCAGAATATGTGCTATTGGAGTGGTAACAATCCCAGAGAGCTCCATGAGAGGCCACTTCACAGTGATAAGGTGACAGTATGGTGTGTTGTCGAGAGTTTGAGTTATTGACCCTTATTTTTTTCAAGAAGGCAATCATGCAGTTACTGTCAATTCACAGCGGTATGTGGACATGATTAAAAACTTTTTCGAACCAGCTCTTGAGGAAATGCATCTAGGAAATGTCTGGTTCCAACAGGATGGCGCCAAGGCCCACACAGCCCGAGCTTCAATGACAGTTTTGAGGGCAAAGTTCCCCGGACGGCTCATCTCGCTTCAAGGTGGGCAGCACACTCACCTGATCCAACACCCTGTGATTTTTTATGGGGATACCTTAAGGCAGAGGTTTTTAAACATTGCCCCACAAACCTGCTTCAGCTGAAGAATGCTGTTCGACAGGAAGTAGCCCAAATTCTGGTGCACATGTTGGAACGTGCAGAGGGGAACTTCAGAAAACGGTTGCATTAGTGCACAGAGAACGGTGGCCACCAGCTTCAAGATATTTTGTTTAAAACTACATGATTTAAAAGTTTAAAGTATGTTCCTTTATTAGGTAAACATAAATTTTCTCTATCAGCAATAATTTTTTCTTGTATTTTCCTTCCAAAAAAAAAAAAAAGGAAGTTTCTGCGCCCCACCCTGTACAATGTGTGTGCAACATGGCATCCTTAGTGCACCAATATTCTTCTGGGTACAATCTTTATAAACATATATCATCACCCTTGCCAGGCATATATTTCCATCTATTTCAAACATAACGGACTACAAGACAGACCTATCACTGTGTATGCCATCTGTAAAGGAATTTTTACTGCATCTAGCAGTGGGAACATTCTACTCTGCATGTCCCCTGATCCTGGCAATCTGAGGGACAGTAAAAATACATCTAAATCAACCAAAACCATCTTCATTGTGTAAGCCAAGATTCAGCATGCATGTACTATTCACATTTCTATTCAATTTCTCCTTATCTCCATAAATCAGCACTACAAAATCAATTCAGCATGGTGAGTTCCACTAGGCTTCATTTAGCAGCGAAACAGTTAAAAGGAGCTAATCTCAATCACTGGTCCTGTATAGAAGAAAACTGGTTCAGTCTCCAACACACTATGTTATGTTCAGGATACTAGACAGGGCACAAAGCCCAGTGATACCCAGGGTAATATACCATCAACAGAACCCTCAAGATTTGGTTTAGTCTTCTGTTTGGAATATCATATGATGGACAATGTCCACACACCTAACACTACCAATACTACCACTGTCAATATGATCTGTTAGAATGTGCATCATATCACCTATCAGACTGTCAAGATTTTTTTACCTTCTTAATATTATGTGCATTAATTGAAGTATATGCTTAAGTTAACAGAAGATTTAACTTCTTTCAGCTTATCAAGATCTTCAAATTTCATTTAAAACACTGAAAGAAATACATTACCTAACTATTCCATTTTCCATGGGGTAGTTCACTTCAAGCATGGACCTAAGTTTACTGGCTTCATCGCCAACCATCAAGTCCTACAAAACATTAATCAACGAAACAGTACATTCAGTGGAACTCAACAACAAACACAATAATTCTTGCAGTCATTAATAGTACCATTAATTTTGTACCTGAATCATGTCATGGCAAGTGTTCCCATTAATGATGTCACATTATGTCCACTTCGCATGGACACCTTTCACAACCAAACACTTATATAAAACTTGGTATAGGGAGCCATACATCCATTGCCTAATCAGATTCAAGTCAATAGATCATTCTTGCAAAGTTGGACATGAGGTTCTCACAGCTCTGACTACGAAGAGTACTATGTACTGGGATGTGGCATTTCAGAAGAATGTTCCAGGTCTATCTTTCCAGAGTCAAAGATTGTGTGGGAACCTCCAACAGTGCATAACAGACAAATTCCACAGTGTACCAAAAGCAGGCAATATTTATACACTACACCTTGAGGCCTGGTTGTCTGTACATCCACATGAGCACTACCCAATCAGCGCTCACAACTGCAGCTCCACTGCCAACTGGTTTGCGCGCCACCCAGCGGTAATGGAATAAAAATGCGGGCCTCAAACAGGCTGGCATTTTAGCGTAAATTCAGGGTCTCAATCGAAGGCGAAATGTCAACTCCAAGGGAAATGCAAGCAGGGGTACCACAAGGTTCTGTCCTTTCCCCTACTCTTTTCAATTTGTACATATATGATGCCCCCCCAACATGTGGTGTTCACCTGGCCCTCCTGTCTATATGCGACAGATCGCAAGGAGAGTTTTATTGTTAGAAAACTCCAGCACGGTCTCAGATCAATGGAGACCTGGTGTGAGTGCTGGAATATTAAAATTATTGAAGATAAAACTCAGGGAGTCTACTTCTCTCGTGGTCGTCGACCACCTGAGTCTTGTCTTACTCTAAACGGATGAATTATTCCATTTGTAAATAGTGCAAAATATCTAGGTGTCTCTTCGATAAGAGAGTTATATTGAGATTATACATAAAAATGATCGAAGCCAAGACCTTCAGAACATTCATTAGAGTATATTCCCTATTCAAACGTGAGCGATGGAGCGCTAACATTAAAATTACCCTCCACAAAGCTCTTATTAGATCCGTAATGACTTATGTTAGTTCCGCCTGGGAGTTTGCAGTAGACACCCATCTAGTGAAATTGCAGCACCTGCAAAACAAGGTTCTCCGCACCCTTGACAATTTTCCAAGGCGCACACCGGTCCATGATTTGCACATGGCTTTCAAAATCCCATACATATATGATTATATAACAAAATTATGCAGGCAACAAGCAGAAGTCATACAAAATCATGTCAATGAAAATGTTCGTAATACTGGTCAAGGCGAAGCCCGACATAGAAAGTATAAGAGGCTTAAACTTCGCAGCGGTCAGGCATACGACCGTTCAAGCGACTAGACTGCCGTGGTAGCGAATACTACTAGAAAACCTGCTTTACTGAGCCTCGCTGACACAGGCCTTGTATATATTGTACATTGGAGTAGATATTAAGTATAACCTTGTAAATAAGTGTACATATTGACAATGGACTTAATATTACCAACTATGACTGACAAATGAGACCCGACCTCTCATTAGAGAGGACATGGACAGGACAGTAACTTTCATCTAAAAAGAAACATCTGGTCATGAGAGCCAGCTGGGGCTCAACACCAAGATAGACAGACTGACTGACTGTCAGCTGCAACATAACTTCAACACTGACTTGAGTCTCGCATCAGTCACATCAGCCGTCGCTACAGTGTCATCAAGAAACCACCTCAGCTGCAACCCTCCAGTAACAGTACCACACCAACTCTGCCAGCTCATGCCTCACAGCTCTGCCAGCCAGCCAGACTTTCTGCTATCCCATCATTTAGCAATCACCGAGCTGCAGCGAAGAAAGCACATCAGGCTGCTGCAAGGAAGCACGCCACATTTGCTAGCTTACTCCAACGGAGGCTTGAGACGGCCCATTTAGGGTCCTCCACTCAGCACTGTCATCACTAGACCGGGCTAACTGCTACAAAAGGAGTATCCACCAGTATTCTTCAGACATATTCCCTGCTCATCTGTGATACCCATTCTAAGTGCAACGAACATTTGTTCTTACAGTTTCAAGTGGCTGCTCAGTACACATCAACATCCCATAATGGTTTAGGTTAGTGGGTTACTTTATGACACTGTTTGTATCAAGACTGAAGCAATGGATGCAAGATCAGGGATGAATTAGAAAGGATTTGGAAACAAGCAGTCATGGCCTAATAAAAGGTACTATCGTGTCACTTGCCTTAGGGCCTGAGGAAAACCACGAAAACCCTCAGTTGGAATAACCAGTATTTTAGCCACAATTTGAACCAAACGCCACTCAAATACGAGTCCTGAGCATTAGCGATATGCCAACCCCTGCCATGAAGCTCAAGATCAGACAGGTCACAAATGTTTTCGTGCATGCTTTAGAGTCCTTAAACGCTTCATGACCATGACACACATATCTGCAACTTTACTCCTGACAAGTCATGGCACAATTACTTGCAGTGCAACGTTTCCAAATTTCCCACCCACATCCTAGGCATCGTATTGACGAGCTGTAAAACTCCCAAAGCAATGCCATCTCTTGGTTCCTGTGAAGTACCACCAAATCCATTCTGAAAATCTGCCATGAATTACCTTTCAAGTTTAAAAAAATACTGGACCTGATAGGGTCACCTACCATATAAATACATGACTGTAAAAGGGTTACATTTCTCTGGGCAAGCTGATTATGATTTTGAACAATGAAGCTGTAATCAACAGCCTGCTTTGCTTGGGTTCTAGATTGACTCACTGAAGCATCTCAGTTCCCAAACATCTGACAGGAGGAACCAACATTATTATAATACTGAACAAGACTATCTTCTGGGATGTGATGCCATGCAGTCTGGTAGAAGTACACCAATGTTTCTTTTTGCAGACTGCTTCATTGGTTTATTCTTTAACCCTGAAGACGGCCATGGTATATTCCTCTGAGACATTAGTGAGCTGCTACTGCACTACTCAGTGTCATGTCAAAGAAATCAGTACTCTTCCTAGTCATCACTGTGCGAATGTCAAACCTAACATTAATCATATATGAGGGAGAGTCAGTAAATAGGTCACAAATGGATACAGAATGTAAAACATGTGATATTCGAACCTGGAAGAAACATTTATTTCTCGACATGTCCTGCACCAACATTGATACACTTGTCCAATCGCTTTCCCATTGCGCTGAAACCCACAGCATAGAAGTCTTCTGATTGTTGTCTCAGCCACTTCTGCACCTCCTTCAACTTCCTTGTCATCAGTAAAATACATGGGACCCAGTTGTGAACTGCTTTTCATGACAAACACTTCCCACCACAAACAGGAAACATTTCTTTATGAATATCCTTTGCAGTGAGTCCTTTTGCCCATAAAAAACGCACAACAGAACACTGCTCTTTGGTAGTATACTCAAGCACTGTCGCCACTTTGACTACTGAAACCAGCCTCCGAATATGCACATGCATGTCTGATACCTAGACTGTCATGAAGCTGGACTGTGCTGCTACCTAGTGATACACACAGAAAATCTATTACATCCATTACATCTGTTTACTTCCATTTGTGACCTTACTGACTTTCCCTTGTATTTCACTCTGATACACAGCTACAATGTCAGGAGCAATCAATACACTTCAGTTTGACCAGCAAATACAGAATAAAATCACCAACAGTAAGAAAAAAGACAAAACAGAAACACAAGTTTTAAATTCCACAAGGTTCAAGCATGCTGGATTCATGTCATAGGACCACAACACATGCATACTTACTGGTACGTGAGCAAATTCCTACGGTAAGGCCGCACAGAGAGCAAAACAAAACATTAGAATGTGAAAGAACAGTCACAGTTAGTACGCTAAAACTAGCTAATAAGTCAACAGAATGGAACCTGCACAGTGTTTTGCATTCAAAAGTTGTTGAGAAATGATACAGAAATTAATTTTCTTAAACCTTCATCATTCTGCATGTTCCTGACATCCACTGACAAAGTCTGGTTAAGCCAAGCCACATATATATTTAACTGTGTTTATACAGTATCTCAGACTGCACTATATCAAATTATCAAATGACAGTAAATATAATGTGGTTGCATTTTATGTAAGGATGCATTCCTGAAGACGTCGCATAATTCAAGACAAGTTTGCTCATAATTTTGAAATACATACATGATTCTTGCTTAATTTTTTGGGGATCAGCACAATTTCAAACTCTGCTTCAATAATACTGTTGCGTGTTTCCTAGGCAATGCATCAAATCTCTTGTTGCTGCAAGAATGTGTGTCTGCCTCAACCAATTCGTTTGTAAAGGTGGAAACCCCAGTGTTACACTTTCATCTCCGGGGCAACGATTTCCTAGGCATCACTGCCTAGGAATTTCTAGCTGTTGACTAATGATGGCCATCTTGGACTCCAGCTTTCAGGCAGCACGTCACAATATTTTTTATATTGCACTATTTCAAATTTTCACAAAATGTGACTACGCTACATATAATTGAAAAGGATGTGGAAGGAAGCAGCCATGGTGTAACAGTGACACAGACCATTACATCATCATAAGAGAGTTGCTGGATTCTACTTTCAGCATACTTGCAGTATTCATATGCTGGTTGGAAATTCAAACACACTTACAGCCTGATAGTGAACTTAAGGATGGAGTTCGGTTTGTCTACTTAGGCTTGTCCAAAGCCAGCATAAGAGGGGTGTCAGGTTAGTTGGTTATGAGCAGTTAAAGTCTCAAGGTCATTCTGAGCTCCCCACTATCATCCACACATAAACACTGTTATTAACAGAGTACTCCTTTTGAACTATAGCTGAGTCTAAGATAGGAAAGCACAGAGTTATCCATAGTCCATGGTGACCAGAGTCCTGTTTTAATGGAATTGTCCCACTGTCCCGATGGGGATAAAACAGGATGCCAAATAGTCCCATTTTCAACAGTACTGTTCTGTTTATAACTAATACAAATTTATCCTTATGGCATACAAGCAGCAGTTGGCGCCTAGATGCACAGAATGAAAATCACCTTCCTACTGTGGCATATTTGCTCATGGAAAGAACTGTGAAGCCAGCAGAGACAGCCATTGCTAGGGAACAGCTCTGCAAACATGCTCATTAATAGGCAACAAATTTGTAACACGCAACAATGAAGTAACTGAGAATCCATGCAACAGCTATGTGACATGACAAGAGAACTGCTGGGAGAGGTGTTTTCTATGCTGTCTGTGCGTGCCTACACTATATAATGACATGATGACAGACTGAGAGAGTGACAGAACTGAGTTCAAAAGTGATTGAGAGTACTGACACAGTCGAGATCATTGAGAGAGAGTTCGAGAGTTGAGAAGATTGGGAGACAGAGGTTTTGACGAGTGAGCTGATTCAAGTACATGGTGACACAAGTAATCAATTCATTAGTTCAAGTCTTTGTCCACGTGTGAGATTGTGGGTCGAGATTATTGGCAGTTAGGTGTGTGTTTGCATCGGTTGTAGCTGAATAGTGAAGAGAGGAGTCTGTGGCATTCGATTACTATTTATATTCATTGTTGACGGTGGTTCTTCGAAAACTGAAGTGAGTGAACACGAGACAAGAACAGTGGTGCCAAATATGGCTGCCATCCCAGTGCCAGGATACCAGGCACATTGGACCATGCGTCAGACGCTAAAATCACAGTACCAGCAGCTGGCAGGCAAGTTTCCCGACACAGACGCACAGCTGAAACAGCTCCTTCAAGTACACCGAGACATCGAGGACATGGCAGGGTATACTCCAGCTTCGGTGGGTGACAGTGAACAGTGGTCATCCATCATCAGCGAGGCAGACGAAAACAGCCAGAACTACTGCCAGGTCCTAACAGGGAAGACCCTGTTTAGTGCCCTGTATGGCACATACACAGTCGCCTTACAGGAGTTAAAGGCCGTGCTGAAGGCGAGCAGTCAAACTCCTCAGTCTGGGGCAACCCTCTTCAACCCAGGAGGACGGTTTCAAAGAAGCCTGGCGGCACAAGTGGCACAGTACCGAGACCGCCCTGACCTTGAAGAAAAAAGTGGTAGCCACTGAAATCACGCCTCCTAAAGAGGTTGCCACCTGCAACTTCTTTGCACCCCTGAAAACATCAATGGAGACTGACAGCATTAGTGCAGAGGGTGCCACACCCGAGGAGGCAGTCCCTGGCAAAGCAGGTAGGCCGCCTCCAATAATATTGACATCATCCACGAATCTCATACAGTTGCAAAAGAAACTGAAAAACGTGGTCAAGGACAACTTCGAGTTCCATAGCACAAGAAACGGAACCAGAGCTGTTACGAAAGGCATGGCAGATTTCGAAGCCATCAAGTCACATTTCACCAACAACAACCTAGCCTATTATTCCTTCTTCCCAAAATCCCAGAAGCCTGTTAAGGCAGTAATCCAACACCTCCCCATCAATACCCCTGCTCAGGACATTTCAGAAGGTCTGGAAAACTTGGCCTTCGATGTTGTTAGCATCAAGCAAATGACGACAACCCATCGATCCCAACCTGAAGAAGCAACAACCAGGAACCTTCCCTTGTTCCTGATAACCTAGCCGCAGATGGCAAAATCACAGGAAATATTCAATCTGCCAAGCCTTGCCACATATCAATCAAGGTGTAGATGCACTGAGCTCACACTGGACTTACACAATGTCATAACTGTCAACAGTTTGGCCACGTCTGGGCTAACTGTAAACAACCTCCCAGCTGTTTGTGGTGCAGAGGTGGCCATCTGCATAAGGAATGCCCAGAGAAGGGAAACGCTGCTTCCACCCCAACATGCTGCAACTGCCGGTTGGCAGAGGGAGACAAGCCACATCCCGCCAACTATCGGGGTTGCAGATACGCCAAGGAAAAGCCGCAAAAAAGTAAGGCGAAGAGAACACCGAAAAATGCTATGGAGAGGGTGTTCTCATCAAACCTCGTCACCTCAGGCGTGTCCTTCGTGGTGGCACTACGAGGCAACGCAGAAAAACAGCGTCCACAGGCAAACTCCGCTCCAATGGTTTGCCATACAGTAACAAAACAACAAAATGTACTGGCCCCTACACTGAAGAATGAAACAGGTCAGTCACTTCAGGCTCCTCATGCAAACACTCAATCTCTCAACAATATGTTGAGAGTTGTGACTGTAGTACAGCAGATCATGACAGAGTTCAATGATGCAGTGTCTGAGGAGGACAAAATAATGGCCATTACAAAAACTGTATTAAATCTCATGAAACAAAATGGACACTAGAGTTCATAGGCCCCTCAAAGTCATAGCATTTAATGTGAACGGCATTTGGAGGCAGCGCTATGAGCTCAGTAAACAGCTGCAAGACCTATGTACAGATGTGGCCCCGTTTTCAGACACACATCTGAAAGCTCATGAGAGATTCTTTCTTCCAAATTACCACTTTTATAGAACCGAGCGCTACTTGGGCAGAAAAGGCGGAACTGCCGTTGCAGTTAGAAAAGGCATTCCCCATAACCATGTAGACCTACCAACCCTTGTTTCAGTAGAAGCAACAGGAGTCTGCATACCAATTGGTAACAGTGAAGTACTGTTTGCAGATGTTTATAAATCCCCAGGCAGGGCCTGGAGTGATGCTGACATCACTGAGCTCTTAAGCTTTAGACGTAAGTCTATTTTGGCAGGTGATTTGAATGCTAAGCACCCATTTTGAAATAGCAGAGTTTCAAACCCCTCAGGCGAGAAACTCATGGATTTATTTGTTATGAGTGATTTCAAAATCTTAGCACCACAGTGCCCACTCATTATTCCCCTACAGGAAATGGTGACATGCTGGATATCGTGGTCCACCAAAATATCAGAATGTCAGAAGTCATTGGCTCCAATATTCTGGATTCAGATCACCTACCAATAGTATTCCACATACTGGATCATGTTAAAATTAGGAACATTTTGGAACCTACTGAAAAATTCACAGATTGAGAGTGATTTCAAAGCCTAGCATTTGAGTTAATATCACATAAACTAGAAATTAAGTCTGGGGTAGAAGCCGATAAAGCGGCACACGACTTTGCAGCCTCTATTGCTTTGGCATATACGTTGTCCACAAGAAAAGTTACACTTTCAGACATAAACAACGATCTTCCTGGTGTAGATCGCCTGTTAAAACATAAGCAGAGGCTACGAAAACTGTGACAAGAAACCAGGGATCCAGCATGTAAGACGGCACTAAACTGGGTCACAAAGTCAATCAGCCGAATGACCCGAAAAAAGACACTTGAAAGGTGGGAAACAAAAATAGGTAATGCTGAAGTCACACCTCAGGGTATATGGCCAATTGCGAAATCCCTCCTAAAGAAGGATGGACCAAGGGCACCAACTCATATTCATGGTGCTGCAGGCCTTACATTTCACCCATTTGAAAAAGCCAATGCAATTGTTGATTGTTTGGAAATTCAGTTCATGCCACACGATCTGTATAACGATAGCCATGAACGGCGAGTGGAGGCTAGAGTTCAAGCTCTGCTTGAAACCACAGATGACAAACCCCCTCAAGGGATCAGACTATGTGAAATACAAAAATTGATAAATTCCTTGAAATTGAGAAAGGCCTGTGGAATTGATGGCATCCCAAATGAATGCTTGAGGCAAACTTCCAAGGCGACCATTGGTTCACCTAACTCATTTATTTAATCACTGTCTTCGGCTCTCTCATTTTCCAAATATTTGGAAGGAAGCTAAAGTAATAACTTTACCTAAACCCGGTAAAGACCCGAAATTCCCGCAAAATTTATGTTTGGTCAGCCTCCTGTCCACAACA